CCCCCCCCCCCCCCGGGGTAGAATGGCAGCTACACGGCCTGGACCACGCCAGTGGTTTTGCTTTCTCTCTCCTCTGTACCTTTTATTTTGATTGAGTGCACACACATTGAATCCAAGTGAAATACAAATATAACCATGATTCTGTTTACAAATGAAGAAAACCAACAGCTAGTAGCTTAGAATTCAAGTTCAAGCAAACTGACTCTGGAACCCATGCAATTAAACAATAAAATATGCTGCCTTCCAAGAAGTGACTGTTGAAATAAAATACATGTGGAAAGATGAGTGTTTGCAGAATTAAGAATAAGTGTTTCACCACTTTCAGGAAGGATCGTCTCACCCATACATCACTGTTCTGGACACAGCCTGTGAATGCAGACCAGAGCCCAGGCACACCGCACGGTGCGGCTGGCTCCGATGCTGGAGGAAAAAGCACACTGATACAACAGTATCTTCCTAATCATAAAACCAGGCATTCTCAGGTCCACAAGAGGGAGGAGCTGCGTTCCCCTGAAATCTGCAGGAAATCCATGGACTTTCCAACAGTGGCTGTCTGCTCGCTCTGTGCCAGCTCCACGAGTACTTTCTTATTTGGTTGTCCGAGAGGGGTATGACTCACTGCAGATGGTGCGAAGGTCACTGTCCATGTAGACCACAGCCAGCACACTATCTGTAAAGGGCTGGGCAGGCTTCATGGGCCAGGTGGTCTGTCACAACTAAACTGCCACTGCTGCTCTAACACAGCCAGAGGCGATACATACACATACGGGACCATCCGTGTTCCAACAAAACTTTATTCACAGACACAGGCAGTGGGCCAAGGTGGGCCATGACCTGCTGACCCCTGCTGCAGGCCAATCCTGGGACAAGCTAGTGAAGTGCTCCACAGCACAGAGAGTGACCTGGTCATCCTCTGGAAGGTAAGAGAAAGGCAGAAAGGGGAGAACACAGAGGCACTGGCAACGTAATCAATGGGACAGTGACAGGGAACAGAAGGAACAGGACAGGTTGGCACAAATCACCTCGGGGACCACAGGGGTGCACATGAGCCAGGCCTTCACGGCCAGCTCCTCAAATTCAGCTGCCTTTTCATGAAGAAACCCTACTCCGCCTTTGCAGAAATAACCAAGCTTACACTGTTTCAAGCAAAAGGTAGAAAGTCACTGTCTCTCAGTTTCAACATTCTCTACCAAGGGTTCTTAAGGTGCCTCTGCTTCTCCCATCCCACGGGACCACATAAGGTCTGCCCTCCCGCTCACCATCCTGGCGGAAAGGGTGCCCTCTGCTTACCACCCTGGCAGGGAGGGCCGCGGAGCAGTGGGCGGGCTGCTGAGCCCTGCCCGCCACCGAGTCCTCAACACACCAGCCGGTGGAGCTCTTTCCTGTGAGCAGAACGAACACGTCTCCTCCCCTCCTGACCTCAGGCCCCGGCGTCCACATTACCTGACCTCACTGAAATCTAGTGCTCCTTTCTGGCTCTGGCTTTTATTAAAAATAAACTCATTCACAGTTTGAATGCAAATGAAATTAATTCACATATTCATGCTATGACTCTGTAGCTAGTTTGCACTTGCCCCCAATGCTCATTTGGTGACTCATTTGGTAAGAAACTTTATGCAGTGAAAACATACGCACTCTTTGCTTTCGAAGGAAATTAAATGACACTTTAATCTTGTTTTGGAAAACAGGCGCTTCGACGCGGCCACTGCAGCTGAGGCCCGCCGCGCAGTGTCATCAGGGAGGAAGGCTCCTGACTTCGTTAACTCTGCTCACAGCTGGGACTGAGAGAGTTGTCACCCTGGGGTTTAGCTGGCAGTCAGGGGTGTGCTTCAGCGAACACAGGAAAGACATGACCGGGTGCTGTCCCTGGAGCCCACCCGCCTCCACCCTTTCTGGGCATGGTATATACTAGAGAGAGAGGAGTTGTTTCAATACTGTGCTCAGCCTCGCAGCTGGGCTTCGTCTCAGCAGGAAGCGCTCCGTACCCAGGTGGCACAGCCACCGTGCCCACGGGCACACGCACACACGCACGTGCTGGTTCTCAGGGAGCCACTGAATGCGGGGCTCCCAGCCCACTTATCCTCAGCCAGTCGGCTGACCTATGACTGGCACGCGTCAGTTCATGTTGGGAGCATGTCCTCACCATGGAGGCCTCTCTGGTTGGTAGAAGAAATACAAAGTCCCCGTTTCTTCTTAATGCACTGTAGGCTTTCCCCGTGGCCTCAGGAGCCAGAGGAAAGTGGGTTCTAAAGGCTTCAGACGGCCCGAGGCAGCCGTGACTACGGCACGGGCTCTAGGATGTGGGTTTGGATGTCAGTTCTGATGCTTCCTAGAGGCACAACCTTGGATAAGTTACCCAGCCTTTCTGAGTATCAGCCCAACCATCTGAAAAGTAATGACAAGAATCAGGAATACGTAGGAACTGACTGGCACAGTGCCGAACAGTTACCTGGTAAAGGCAGGTGGTGTCACCACCAACAATCATATTATCAATAACCATTAATATGACCTTTTCCCCATCCTCTTATAAAATTGTGTGGGAAGGAGCGAAAGAAGATTCATGGCCCCCGCTCTTTGCCCAGCTGATAATGTATCTTTCTCCCCCAAATAAACAAAACCCAAATATGTAAGCGAGGCAGCACAGGAGAGGAAAAGCCAGGATGAGTGCGGTCTTACTCCCGTTTCTCTAATAGATTAGTAATTTCTTGGCACCGGCTCTGACAGAAAACAGATGGATCCGGCATGCAGCAGAACGCAGGCAGCAGATGCCGGGCCAGCCCACCTCAGCTGGACGGGCCCTGCAGCCAAGTCCAAGAGCCCGCAGTTTTCAAGTGGGTTCATCTTGGCATACCAGCTTCGGGAAATTGGTCACCAAGTGAATTCAGAGTCCAACCCACCAGGAGCGAGATTCGCGCAGCAGACAGAGGAAGCGGGAGCCGGACTCTATTCCAGTCACCACCATTACAGGAGGGTCACAAAAGTCTATACCCGACTCTAGAACATTTAAATTTGCTAGTTACAATCCATAGTCCAAGCTTACTGCTTTTGTTGAACTATTAAATGTTTCCACTCAGAGGAAATTTTGCTTCTGTTTCAGTCATTCAGTAATTACCATGAGCACAGAATGTTCTGTATTACGCCCTATGCCGTGGAGGGTAACAATGGTGCACCGATCACAGGACAGACACCTTACCTTGGGTGGGAAAGAATAAGTGGATATTAGCTACATTTCATGATCAATGTATTTGTGAATTAGAGCGAACTATGCTTTTATCTTGTTGTCTAGTCAAAGACATTCACCACTTTTTATAGCCATCTACTACATAACATTACTTTTTAAATTTTTTGAGAGAAAAAAGAGAGGGAGAGAGACATCGTTTGTTGGTCCACTTACTTAAGCATCACTGGTTGCTTCTCGTATGCG